TTTTTAAAAACTGGTTTATCACTCAACTAGCAAGCACAAAATCAAATGTTAAAAAGTGGTGTCACTGCCAACTCTGTTATCAACTTGTAAATACAGTACAGCTCCTCCCCGACTTGCGACGGGGTTAGGGACCCAAATCCAGGTCATAAGTCGAAAATGCTTAAATAATACATAGAAAATCTAAAATGGGTGTCTCTTTTTCTTCTCAGCACCACAAAACTCTCGCTTTTAAGCTTGCCAGCCATTTTAAAGTGAATTACAAACAAAAATTTTGTCAGTACACAGCGCAATCACTGACGTTGGGACTCAAAAATACGTAATTTCACAAAATTTTGGTACGACTGAGGCAGGTCGTAAGTGCGGGTGGTCGTAAGTCGAGTAGGTCGTAAGTCGGGGAGGAGCTGTACTGTGATGGTCTTTATGTTACTAATAAAGTAGTAGTCTGTTAAAAAAATACAATATAATGTGCATTGGTTACTGTCTGCAATATTTTTGTTCATATAAATTGGTGTAAAGCTGTAGCTATCACCATCACTCATGCTGAAGAACTGAAGGGAATATATTCCATTAATTAGGCAAATATTTATCTTTTACTGCAAAATAATTAGCGTACTGCAAAATACCATATACAGTGGGGTATGCTATAACGAATCTAATTGGTTCTAGAACCTCGTTCGTTATGGGATTAATCTGTTCCAGGCCCCCAAACACAACCACTTAACACTGAAAAATTTATGTGGAAATTGTAAAAAATACGGTACTTTATCTTACCTTAGTGTTGTTCAGCATACAGGACAGGAGGCAGAGAAGGAGGGGGGAGGAGAGAATTATGGAGAAGAGGTGGAAGGAGAGGAGTCATCCTTCCTAGCCCTCTTTGGTGACTGTCTTACAGGCACTTTGTCTGTTTATTTATAATTTCTTTCTTAGTTTCAAGGGTTATTAGCTTTCTCACTCGCTTTTGATGATTCAGTGTTACAATTGTACACTTGTATAACAAAATAGTTATAAAAATAACACGAATTTCCACATCAAAAGATTAAATTTCAACAGGTTCAGTGGTGCACTGACTACACAATGAGCCAATATGGCACCTGACGCTCTTGCTATGAGCCACGGTACAACAATATTCATGCGCAGGACGAAATAGTCCCGTATTCATCCGCATTCATTGTAGGAGTTTCTAAATTTTATAGGTAAAACCGTTCGTTATAGGAATACTCATAGTAGAATCCGTTCGTTATAGCATACCTCACTGTAATTATCATGTAAGGTGCAATGGGCTTAATGTGTTTTATATGTCACGGTCGTTTGGCTGTACCACATTCAGGGATGAATGTGGTTTGCCCATTGGAATGCTCCATCCTCCTATAGTCCCAGAATCCTTGACTGTACAGTCAGTTCTGCTATAACGCGATAGTTGTGTTCTTGTAAAATATCGTGTTATAGAAAATCGCGTAATAGAAATAACAGGGCTTATGGAGAAAATAGGGTTAGGTGCAGATTACTCGAAATCGAAAAAATTTAGTAGTTAGCCTAACACAAAGGATAGCACAGTCTAAATAAATGTTACATTCATATCTAATAATGAAATCATACAGTAAATGTAACACTTTACCTTGAAAAAATATGAATATAACTTGATGGGGGAGAAGGGTGATTTTGAGGTTGATAACATCGAGCTTCTCTTCAAGTGTTATATCCTTTCTTTTACGATCATCACCGGGAATTCGATCACCAGAACGCTTCTTGGAGATATTCTTCTTTATCATATTCACAGTTAATACCACAAAATTGGAGAAATAGTAAGCAAAAATCGCGTTACAGCAAACAAGCGTTCGCGTTATACAAATATCATTCCTCTATTCATAAATCGCGTTAGAGCAAATTCGTGTTATCAAAACACGCGTTATAGCAGAACTCACTGTACTCACCTGCAGATGTTGTCGTCATATTATGTTGATACAGGTTAGCCTGCCTTTGTCCTGCACCATCTCTTATAGCAGGTGTTGTTAACTGTCACTCTCCTCTCCCTCCATGAAGGAGTGATTGTGCATACACTGCACGTACACCCTTTACAAACTCGTTTAAAGTAGGCACACAATGTCCACTCTGCTATGTACAGCACTGGTCATATTGTATGGTACTTTCACGCTAATTGAATGTACAGAACAGTATATGTTACTGTAATCACTTTTCATGTCTTAACACTGCTGTAACAAAATTTTAGGGTGATTATATGTTGGTGCATTAATGTACAGTACTGCACAACACAGATCGTATGTGAAAACAGTAGTAAGCAAGCGACAAGCTTGTACAGTATCTCAAAAAAGTATTTTACAGGATGGGTCCAATGACTTCTAAAATGCTACATGCAACTCTTGATGTCCTGGAAGGGTTGGTATGCATGGCTCTGTGGCCATCATATTAATTATGTTGAAATACAGTAAATACACATTGCATTACTTATGTTTAACTATATACCAAAGAAAATGCATGTCCCAATATCTATCATCCATGGTCTCATAATGTTTCACACAGTGTGTGGACAGATATTTGTTTGAGATACTGTACAATGGCATCAGACAATGAACTAAGAGTGTCAAGATGCAAGAGATTGAGGAGATAGGCTGCGAGACTACATCAGCCAATCATAGGCATCTTATGCAGTCACATGACAGTAGTGGCCAATCATAGCTCATGAGCACTTGTCTCAACATTGGAAACATGATGCAATCCTTTGGAAATTCGTTTCAATGCCTGGAATGGAGGGATTTTTTCAGAATTGTTTGGAAATGCGCATGATGCAATTCATGGAAATTCGTTCGAATACAGTACTGTCAGTGGTGGGCACGGTTCCGCTAATCTGCTAACCGCTAATTAGCGAAGCTAATTTTCTCGTTAGCGGATTAGCATTTTCGCTAACTTTGGAAACCATTAGCGGACCAATTAGCTTCTGCTAAATTTAGTTCTGCTAACTTTAAGTCCACTAACAAAATTTATTCATGCTTGTTCCTGTCTGTTGTAAGCTTGTGACACCGCGACGCGTGTCTCCAGATATCTTGAGGGCCAAGAGAGCCACCCTGTCAGATGGCAACTTTGAGAGGCTGATGTTTATGAAGGGCAACCAGCATCATGTCGAGGCGATGGAGAAGGCCCAGCCACTGCAGCCGGAGTGAATGGAATTTTTTTATTATTAAAGTTTAATACTTTTTTTTATAGTAAATAAAGACTGTCAGTGTATGTTGAAAGAATCACAGAATGTAATTGTAAACTAATGTATAATTTCATTTCTCATTTATTTGTTAATTTAATCAGGATTTTTTTGTGTCAATATATTTGGTTATGCTAAGTGCTGCATAAGTTCATAACCAGGATGTCATCCAAGGTGTGCGCCAAACTAAATTTTCTAAAAACTTACTTTTCATTAAAGTTTAGAGTTTTCTGTTTATTTACATGACTAAGACCAACAATAAGTTATAAAAATGCACTGGTATAATGACTAAGACCAACAATAAGATATATAAAAATGCACTGGTATAATGTGTATGTGGTTGGTATTGCATATTTACATGAATAATGAATAAGGCCGATAGGTTGTATGAGAATGCAAATTAATTATTTGTGAAATTGTGTACAGTGTACACCTTGATAAATTGATCTTCATCTGATCTTGGCATGATGCTATTTGCTACTTATGCTATACAGTACTATAGTTTTGGGATTCATTTAATACTTTCTGTCTTTTCGTACAGTAAATAAAGATTGTAAAGTGTATGTTGAAACTTGAATGTAAACTAATGTTTAATTTCATTTGTTCATTTAATTATTTGTGTACACCTTGATCATCATCTGATCTTGGCATGCTGTACCTTTTTGGAAAGCTCTATGTCTAAGCTACAAGACAACATATGAAAATTTCAGCTCTCTAGGTCTGTTTTTAAGGGTTTTAGAGCCCCCCAAAAATAAACCGAAGCTAAATTCATATAATAAAGGTTAGCGGTTAGCTTTAGCTTCCGCTAATTTTTTCACTGTTTAGCAGTTTAGCGTTAGCGAAGTTAATTTTTTAGTTAACGGATTAGCGGTTAGCGAAGCTAACTTTTCGTTTAGCTGTACCCACCACTGAGTACTGTACCTGGAATGAAGAGATTTTTCCTGGAATTTCTCGGATAATGAAAAAATATCGGATTATTGAAGAGTTCCAATGATCGAAGATTCCAGCTAATGGAAAGATTACTGTATTAAGAATATCAAGATCAAATAATAATACTTAAGGGCTATCCTGAGATGGAATGGTGGAACACCTCTGTCGTTCCCATTTAATAAGAATGCCACTCTTTGAGAATGTGTAATGAATATAGAATTATCATCAATATTGGGACAGCATACCCCATACTTTTCCTCTACAGTACATGTACTGTACTATTAACAAGAACACCCTTATAGCATACAACTTTAGATGAACTCACTATCAGCTGCCTGCAGTTGCCAGTTTTCCGAACTATTCACTTGTATACATCCCTCTTATTCTCAAACATTTCCTAGATTTAACTGCCTTTGTTACTTGAGTTTTATGTTCTTAATTTTATAAGTATGTCATTGATAGGTACAATAAAGATATCAATTTTATTCAATGTAAAGTAAACATAATTATTTTTTGCTGTTTTAATATTTCTTCATATAACTTTTGGTGTTATTTTGATGAAAATGATTTCCTTTTTTTTTATGTACAGTAAATGTTTTAGATAGTGACTGTCTCAAGACTTTATGTACTCTATATACGGTATATAAGTACTTTTACAGTCTAATTTTGTGTTAGTTACTTTTAATTTTTTTACTATATCAAAAGAATTTCTTTTGATTTAAGCATTCATATTTTCCAGTAGTATTACTGTAATATGTTTTCTTGGATTTTTTTTTTTTTTTAGCCTTTAGAAGATGGAAGCTAATGAAGAACCTTACCCTGTTTTATAAGATTACTAATAAGAACTTTATGCCATCAGAGGATCTTCAGAATCAGAGCCAGAGACTGCCACTGCCCCAAGCAAACGTGGTCCAAAAACCTCAGCCACAACTATACCCAAAAGCACTGCCCCAGCTTCGGTTACCCAACGAAAGAATGGCCCAAAACCTGCAGCACGACCTCAACAAGCAGCACTGCAAAAACCTCCAAGTAAAGCACAGCAGCAGAAAGGGAGCAACAATGTTGCACAACAGAAAAAGGCAGCACAAAACAAGAAACCTCTGGGTACATTATACAGTGTTTTAGCAGTGTTGATTGAAATTGGGTTTATTTAAAATTGACAAACACTCATATTGAAGTTTTAAAATTCTATTACAGTATTGTTTATAAATAGCAAACCAGTCATCCTTATCCTGTACAGTATATGAATTGTTAACAATGAAAATTGTAGTTATCTATTGAGATAATTATAATGTTAAGAGGATAAAACTGAGTACCTTTGCATAAATATGATTTCTTAATCTGTATCTTCTTCAGGCACCAAATCAATATCCTGTGCACTTTTCTACCATGTACATTAATATTGCTCGTGGGGAACCTCATTCGTGCACTTAGGTCACAGTTTATTCCTTGATATTTCTCTGACATCACCGCGGTTGCTAGAGGATCGGCTTTTTCACACTTCCTTTTTCCAACATTCGCGGCCTGAGGTCCAATTTTTCTTTTGCGGAGAACCATCTATTAACCTCTTCCCCCGATCTCTTGTTAATATCTGAACTTCAACTGACCAAAGCAGCTTCACCCAAACCTTTTCAAGTCTCCAACTACATCCTCTACAGTATACCTCTTTCCGTTCTAAGGGAGTTGTATGCAACACACGTACACCTACAGCTCGACTCACGGATCTTGAATCTTCTCTTTATGATGTCACTGGCTCAAAATATCTCTACCAACTATGACTATTTTTCTTTGTTTCCTATACTATTCTCCCAACTCTACGAACTATTGGAACTCTTTGACTATCTCACTTCTTGCCATGAGTCGTTGCTATCCACACTCCCCAACACCAAGATCCTCTACCTAGGGGGATTTCAATGTACATCACAGAGAGTGGCTTGGCTCTGCAAGGGATGACCCAGGTGGAGCTGAGGCATTCTCTTTTTCCTTACGTAATGATCTGGAACAAATAATTAAACACCCTACACGTGTTCCAGGTCGGAAACGATCAACTTTCTAACATTCTTGATCTTTGTTTTACCTTTAACCGCTCACACTATTCATACTCAATTTCTGCCCCCTTAGGGTCTTCTGATCACAATCTTATTTCTATTAAATCAATCTGGGCACGAACACCTCCCCCACCCTCCCTCTAAACACCAACTATGGCACTATCGGAGAGCAATCCTTGCTAGAATTCTTCTCGGACTTTCCTTGGGATGAATGTTGCTTTTCTACTCGGGATGCCTCAGTATGTGCTGACAGCATTGCTGGGGTTATACTTGGTGCTATGAGTTCATTTATTCCATCTTCTACCAAAACTTTTGCTTTATAATCATGGTTTGATTGCTCCTGTTCTTTTGCATGTAGGGAGAGAGATAGGGCATATCAAGTTTTGAAACTACTATATCTCCTTCTGTTACCCACTTCTCTTTCATTACTTCTAGGAATCACTGTAAGGTTATTCTTCATAGGGCCAAGTGGAATTTTATAAAAAGAAAGACCACTGACCTGACTAACTCTTCTTCCAGTAAATCCTTCTGGTCCTTGACCAAAAAGTATCTCATATCTGGGGTAGCTCTTCTTCTGTCCAACTGTTAGATAGGGTGGAATCAAAGGCATTTCCTCTTTTTAACTCTCCTCCTTTAGTTGATAATCTCTCTTCCCTTTCTCTTTGCCGCAGTGTTGCTTCACTCTCTTTTACAGGTACTTAAACTGACAATGTTCAGTAGATTTGGCATCCTGTGTACCACCGGCAAGGCCCGCATTGCCCACCGTTTCTGTGTGGATGTCGGCCACACTAGAATAACCCATTATAGTACATTAGGGGGCAGGGAAAAAACACTTTTATTTGAGTTGCAGGCTGCACTTTTCAGGCATCGTTTGTATGGCTGTAAGAAACACCTGTGCAAAATTTCATGCCATTTCATGCATACTTACCCTGCCGCATCGCGAACGACTTTTTGTCAACTTTTAGTGTATACCAAAAATTAGGTGTCACTTAATGTTTTCCAGGATAATGATAAATTTTACATGGGTGACATCGATTTAATTCACATGTTATTTTACAGGTACACCGTATAGAAAATCATTACAAGTTCATATTGAAATTCTTTTTTGTGCGGAACCTTGGCATCATTTTCCTAGACAATAATCTTTGCCTAATATATCCATCTCTCGATTCGTATCCCGTCACTTCAGTGCAAGCTTCAGTCATCACTTTTATGCCTCTCTCGACCGCCTGAGTGCTGTTTGGCCACTTGGGCACCACTAATGGTGTCTCAAGAATGTCATTAACCTGTAGATTTGACAGAGAAGCAATGTAAGGAGGCTCAGTCTTGAGTTCATTCCTCCAGTTAATCATGGAATGATAGTTTTTTGCTTGCCACTTTAGTTTCGGAGTCACCACCTTTCTCATGTTGACTACAGGAGGCACATCCTCATTCCCATCTCCATCTTTACCCTCCTCATCAGTATAGTTTAACAAATTCTCGTCAACAGCAGCATCAGAATCTTCCTCCTCCTCTTCAGATCTGCCAGTGCATTCTTCCTTTTGCTGATTCTCCTCTCTAATTTTTCTTATCATTGAGACAGCTTTTTCTCTAACAGTCATGTCCTCATCTGCACACATACCAAGAAGAAGTTGATCTGTGTGGGCGAAGTATGCATTTCTCTGGACAGCCTTCTTCACTATCGTCTCCTCCTCACTATTCAGGTGTTTCATATATAGCAGGGACTGGAATACGTTCCTTGAGCCGTGTGTTACGTAAGGGTGTATCTTGATGTAAAACCACATTGGAGCACTGAACTTTATTATTGTAATGACAATTCTTTTCAACTCATGGCTGGGTCTTGATGTTGCTACATACAGCCTGAGGATTCTACTCCATAAGGTGTTCCACCTTGACACACAGGGAGGACCTGGCTCAATAGCAGCCAAGTCATCTTCAACAACACCTGTGACAACTCCTTTACAAATCCTATACAGGTATTTCTGATCCCAGGACAGATCTTTCTCCACTTCATCATTAAACACAGGGAAATCAGGGAAACTGACTGGCTGGAAGGCGACAACTGGAAGCTCAGACAAAGACTCCTTGATCTGCTTTCCAATGGGACCACGCCAATGCTCAGGACCACTTGGTTTACCATCATAGTGATAAAAAACTGCGCGGAAAGGCAGCTCATTTCCGTGAAGCTGACATATGAAATAATGGAGCGGGTGACCAAGTAACATTTCAAGATGATGAATGACTCCATTTTCTGATCCTACATTTACATTGGTTCCATCACAACCAACACACACAATGGGCTGCTGGGTTAGATTTTTCTCCACCAGAAACTCGTGAATAGTTTTGGCAATCTGCTTTCCGTGTCCAGTCTTGGGAGTCACATGTGTGAGATATTCATTGCCAGGCTCAACCATGATGACATAATGATCTTTCACCATCATCCTCGAACTCCATTTCTCGGTCTTCTCATTCTTTATCATCACACGAGTGGCGGTCTTCTTACCATCAAAATAGAGTGACGTCAAATTATCTAAACTAGCCATCTCAATTTCTTGCCTCTTAAATCGGTATTTTTGTCTCGCATCCCGCAGCGTATGCGGTCCAATAACCTGACTCTTGTCATCCTTTGTGATAATCAATATAGACATAGCACCATACTCATCTGCAACAAGACAACTTAAATGAAATAAGAGATATGAAAAAAAAGTTGATAAACACTGAACAGAACATTGCACCGCCACAGCGGCTGTTTGGCTAGTACTGTAGGTAAATTTAAAAATTTCAGTAGAAAATGCGGCAGACTAAACCTCGACATATCAGCTTCAAATTTGGCATGGAGTCTTAGATATGTATAAGGAACAATGCCTGAAGAGTGCAGCTTTGAGCAAAATTCACTGCCCCCTATAGTACATCCTTCTTTCCTCACACAACCACAATGTGGAATGCTCTGCCTTCTTCTGTGTTTCTATACTCATACATTCTGTCTCACTTTAAAAAGCTGGTTTTCTGGCATCTTCGTGGTGTAGGTTAATATAGTCTTTTTCTCTTCTATTTTTAATTTCTTTTTACTCTTATTTTTTCACCCCCTAGGCCTCATTGTGGGTCTATGACCTGTGCCTGGATGGGCTATTTCCAATAAAAAAAACCCATATAATTACTCTCCTTCACACTACCTTTCTATTTGACACTTTATCCGACCTGGTGGAGGAGCGAGGAGGTGATAGTGTATTGTATGATCTACATGTATGTGTAGATGTCTGTCTGTCAGTAATCATAAGTTGTAAGATGAGTTTGTGTGTCAGTTTTCAATTAAATTTCCTGTGACTTGGTATGGATGGTGTACAGTACTGTATATACAGTATATGGGGGGATGATTTTCAGCTGCTAAATGGACACGTTGTAGCTTTCTCACCCAGTCATATCTGGATTTAGAGTTAGGTTTTGTTGTAGTTTTGGGGACTAGTGTGGTTTCAAATCAGGTGTCTTGGAGTCTTGGTGCTCATTGCATTTTCAAGCTAAATTTAACCATGCCTCATCACTCTCAGTTGCATTGCTACTTTAAACCAAACTGCAAAGACATTTTTCTAAGGCCAAGTGGACAGATTGATAATTGAATTGAATGGAATTGAAACAGTTTATTTAGTCAGAAAAACACAGATACAGAGTGGATAATAATAACAATATTAACATGGCTGAGCCAGTTGAGAACCTGAGCTCTCTTTTAGGCACCTGATATATACTATACAGTAATTCCCACTTTACGCGGTGCATCTCCTCAAATACGCGGGTGAAGTATAATTTTTTTATTTAGCTCATAAAATTCATACAAATTACCCTGCCAGAATATAATTTACATTGCTGGAATTCTTACAATATGATGATCATTTTGAATATAAACATCATAGATTTTGCATTAGACATACAAATTTTAGGTCTAATGTAAGAATTTTGTTTACTCCGAGCAAATATGTTATCTTTTGTGCAAAATATATGACGTGTATAAAGGGTATTCAAAATATTCCTGGTCTTGCAAGGAATCCGGCAATGTCAATTATATTATCCTAACTTTAGTTTGAGGTATTATTTATTACTATACCTTAAAATCTAGTGTTTTCACTCAAACATTTCTCAGAGAGGGAGGAGCCAGTGAGCGTGAGAAGAGGGGGGGGGGCGGGAGTTGAGTCCATTATTTGAATGGACATTAACCTGGCGACTGTATTTCTCTTAAATATTAATTGTGTGTGCATACCATCATAAAATTAAGATGTTATTTTTACTACAACATAGGTATTGTGTCGGAAAAAGTGGAGTTTGGGAGTCGGCCCAGTCTCTATTTCAATTAATCCCATATGTTCTGTTATTCCATTTACGCATTTCTCATTTTACGCGGACCTCTGCGGGTTCAATTGACCGCGTAAATCGGGGTATTACTGTACATTTATCTCAAGGAAGTATTATGTAACATTTAGTATCATCTGGAATAGTACAATAACATGGTGGTAATAAGAACATCTCATAAGGGATAAGTGTTGACTACACTATTTTATCTTATATTCATTGTTTACCAGTTTTAATATATGCCATGCAATTTAATTAATATTTAGTGTTTGCAAATTTGTAGAGTTACCCATCATTGTACACTTTTTTATTTTATTTTTTTACCCAAGTCAATTACCAGTACTTATGGGAACCAACTGGGGCTGGTTTATATTTCCTAGAACTGAAGGTTTTTTTGCCTCTCAAGCACACTGGGAAGTCATCTAATGATGAAACATTGAGGTAGATACAGCAGCATAAGGGCCTGCTACCAGGATTGATAGAAGCTTATGTCAGTAACGACGCTATCAGTTTTTTTTAGAACACTGAGCCTGTGTTAACAGTCACAGATGTTTACAAGTCAACTACAGCACTCTAATGGCATAAGACTCATTTAAAACATAGACTCTTCATATACTGTACAAGGTTTCAAGTACAGTGCTATAAATTGTACCAGTATTGATGAAAGCTACATTCTTTTTCACTTGAATGAATTTTGGTATTTGTTAAATATAGTTTAGTAGAATTATTTGTTATGTTGATTTCATCATGTTTCATTTGAGTATTAAGTGTAGGATCTTTGTGCTCAAAGTGATCTTGTTGTGGCAGGAAGTGGAGGTGCATCATCCATGGACAAAGCCTCAAAGAAGAAGTCCATATTCTCTCCTGACAACAGCACTGATTCTGATAGCGAGACCAAGAGGCCAGTGAGTAAAAAGGGACCACAACCCAAGCCACAGCCTAAGCCACAGCCCAAACCACAACCAAAAGCACAACCCAAAGCCTCAGTAACCCAGAAAACTAATCCTCAGCAACGAAAGGGAACTCCAAAAGTTCCCGAAAAAGTGCCAGAGAAGTCATCAGAATCATCAACAAATTCTTCTACAGCATCGTCAGGTATAATGAGTACAGTACTTAGTAGTTTTGTAGCTTTTAATAACCCCTATGTATTAGTGGCATACCACACCCAGGTACCAAGTGTCTCATAACTTTCAAGTTCAGTTTATTTTCTTTACATTTGCATTGAAGAACAAACTTGTCTCCAGTTATGTTACTTTCATGTACAGGTGACTTAGTTTCTTTTTATTTTATGTCACATACCATAGTTCAGTGACTGTGCCCTAAATTTCACATTTCAAGGAACAGCAAAGTTAATTTATTTTACAACCTATCCTTACCACCCTATTACATCCTGAGATATACATAGTTTAGTGCATGATCCATTAAACTAAATAATGATAAGATCTAAGACAGCTATACTGTAAATATGCAGTCACTCATAGTTTGCCTCGAGAGATGTATTACAGTGGTCCCTCGGTTAACGAACGGTTCGATTAACGAAATTTCGGTAGACGAATTACCTCCCATAAGGATCTTCAATTCGGTTAACGAACAAAACTTCGATTAACAAAGTCCTTACGACAAACACGCTTTGTTGTGAGGGTCAGCTGATGGGCTAGTCTGCCAACTCAGTAATCTGTTCTATGTTTACATTCGTTTCCAGTGGAGTAAATATCAAGAAAGTTGTCCTCTTTAATATTTTTGCATTTTTTATATTAAAATTATGTATTATTCATTTTAAAATTTAGTTAACATATTGATAATATATGCAGTACAGGGAACTAGTTTTTTGTGCGCCCATCAGCCGTTTGACTCACCCACCAGGCGTCAGTTTGGCTTTGTTTACAGTGGAGTGAACATCGATTTTGTTGGTGTCTTGAATATTTTTTCATTTTTACATTAAAATTATTGGTCATTCTGAAATTTAGTTAACATATTGATAATATATAGTGCAGTGCAGTGTTGATTTAAATAAAATAATCTTGAATTGTACCTAGTGAACTTAAAATTTTATTGGTGAAATTACTGCAAGCATGGATCCCCTGAAAGGTGATTTCTTCTCCATCCCCACTTCTAATTCCCATCATCATCATCAACCAGGAACCTTCTACATACACACCCCAAAGTAAGTGTACTTTACTGCATTTTTTTTTTACTTTGTATGTACTTTTATGTGAGCTGGAACCAATTACCCAATATCCCATTGATATAATGGATTCGGTTAACGAAATTTTCGGTTAACGAACAACTCTGTGGAACGAATTGTGTTCGTTAACCGAGGGACCACTGTATATGTCATATGCAATACTGTACTCTTCTTATGAGAGTGAATGAATGATTAGTTCTCATATTTATTAGTTTAATGTACTAATAGATTTGTACTGTACATATTGTTGTATCAGTAAGCCTGCCAATAAATGCCTCATAGTATAATTTTGCACATTTCATAGGTGAAAACACAGTAGCATACTTAGATTCCATATATGCTTTAAAACTCTTTCTGAATTGCAGAAAGTGATAGTGACAGCTCCTCTGACTCATCAGCATCAGCTAAATCCTTATCTGATAAACCGGTAATTCAGCAAATAGTTCGTAGAAAATCTCATACCAAGTCTACACCAGCCACCACTGAAAGTGACAAGGAAGAGGAAGAAGAAGAAGAAGAAGAAGATGAAGATGAAGAGGACACACCAAGAAAACATGTGACAAGATCATCTAGTGTTCGCACCAAAAGGGGCTCCTTACTTGGGATACAAAAAGGGACTGAATCAGATTCAGAAAACAATGGTGAGGAAGATCATTTCTGTTGTGTAAAACATAGGACTGTTTGTCAAGGGTAATAATATTGAAATCCGCTAAATTTAGGCATAATTTATTCTTAAATTATAAAGGGGAGAAAGAAAAGATTAAAATACTACAGGTAGTCCCTGACTTACGACTGACTCAGCTTACGTCCATCCACACTTACGACCTGCTCTGACCTTACGACCGTCGGTACATACGACCGCCGCAGTTGTGACCAAAATTTTTTCAAATGACGCGCGCATTTTCTATACCGAAACGTTTCCGTCCCTAGCGAGAGCGTGGATTGGCTTGGGTCACCGCGTGGTTACACTCACTCAATACAGCGCTTAGTTGGTGTTTGGCTATCGTATCCTATACTGATCGCGCTGTGAACTTATGTTATTATCGTATTTAATTGACTTTATAATGACTGGAAAGCGTACAAGTGAGAGTGCTGGTGGTGCTCCAAAGAAAAGGAGACAGGCAATTACTTTTGAGATGAAAATGAAGATAATAATGCAGTATGAGAATGGTAAAACTGTAGCAACAATCTCACTCGACCTAGGTTTCTCGCACTTGACCATATCCACTATTCTGAAGGACAAGGAACGTATTCGTGATGTAATGAAAGGAACAACACCTATAAAGGGAACTATAATTTCGAAGAAAAGACAAGGTCCCATTCACGATATGGAAAAATTATTGGTGATATGGATAGAAGACCAAATACAGAAGCGTGTACCCTTAAGCCTTCTAACCTTACAGGCTAAAGCAAGAAGCCTGTTCCAAAGCCTAAGGAGCAGGCAGGAGATGAATGTGAGCAAACCTTTACAGCAAGTCATGGGTGGTTTAATAGATTTAAAAAATGCTACAGTCTACACAATGTTAAGGTGAGTGGAGAAGCAGCTAGTGCTGATGTTGGTGCTGCTGTAGCTTTTAAGGAGGAGTTACATGATTTGATTGTGGAAGGGAATTATTTGCCTGAGCAAATATTCAATTTGGATGAGACTGGATTATTGTGGAAGCGCATGCCTGAGCGGACATACATCCACAAAGAGGCGAAAACAATGCCAGGATTCAAGGCATTCAAGGACAGACTTACACTTCTGTTGGGAGGGAATGTTGCTGGTTTCAAGCTAAAGCCCTTCATGATCTATCATTCAGAGAACCCCAGGGCTTTTAAACATGTCAGCAAGCACACACTGCCAGTGTTTTATCGCAGTAATAAGAAAGCCTGGATGACCCTAGTACTGTTTGAGGATTGGTTCATGAATTGTTTCATTCCTCAAGCCAAGGAGTATTGTCTGCAACAACGGATTCCATTCAAGATTTTGCTGATTTTGGATAATGCTCCGGGATACCCACCACACCTGGACGACATGCACCCTGATGTTAAGGTAGTGTACATTCCTCCTAACACTACCTCTGTCATCCAACCCATGGATCAAGGTGCTATTGCTGCCTGTAAAGCGTATTATTTACGTACGACCTTCGCTCAGACTGTTACTGCTACTGAAGGTGAGAAAACGCTCAGAGAGTTTTGGAAGGAGTACAACGTTTTGTCATGTATAAAGAACATTAGTGCAGCATGGGATCAGGTTACAAAACATTGCACGAATGGAATATGGAAGAAAGTCCTGAAAAGATATGTGAACAGTTTTAGAGGATTTAATGAAAATGAAGTTATTTCTGATATTAGTAACAAGATAGTGGAGTTAGGTAAACAGCTTCAGTTAGAAATTGATAATGAAGATGTTGAACAGATGGTTGAAAGTGTAGCAGAAGAGCTCAGTAACGAAGATCTCATCGAACTGGAAGCACACAAAGATGAAGAGGAAGAAGCCTGTCTAAATGTAGAAGAAGGACCTGCATCCCCCAAAAAGTTTTCAGTGAAGCAAATGGCAGAGGCATTTGCTACAATTAATAAAGGGATGCAAATGTTTGATGGCATGGATCAAAATTATGAGCGTTATGCCAAAGTTGACAGAATGATCCAAGATGCACTTGCTTGCTACAGAGAAATTTATAATGAAAAGAAAAAGCAAACTGTGCAGTCTAAATTGGACATCTATTTCAAGAAGTCCCCCAGTGCTGTCTCCTCATGCCCCAGCAGTGCTGCCTCTTCACTCCCTCAAGATGATCCAATACCTTCAACAAGCAAGTTTCCACAGTACCCACCCAGCCCTGTCTCCTCCTCTGCTTCATCCAATTAATACTGTATAGTCTCCACGTATACCTGTAAATAAAAAATTATGGGGGCCCCGTGTGCATTCAGCTGACTACATTAAAGGTAAGTGCTCAGTCACACTGTATCCATTCCTCATTATTTATTACTTTTACTGTACTGTATCAATTCCTCATTATTTATTACTTTTACTGTACTGTATTTCATTGTAGATTTTTTTATTTATTTATTTTTTTTTTATTTTTTTTTTATTTTTATTTTTTTTTATCTATGTCGGACTTACGACCTGGATTTGGGTCCCTAACCCCGTCGTAAGTCGGGGAGCACCTGTATAGATAAAAGAGAAAGATTAAAAGTTATGAACATTGACTGAATTTTATCATAGCTGTAAATTAATGTTTTTTGAGAATATGAATGAAAGGTTATGGGAAGACTTGTAGTGCAAGAAGGTATGTTAAGTATTATTTTACAAAAATATATATTTAAATGAATGATAGATATATTGTTTACAACTTTGTAAAACAGAAAGGTAATGTTACTTTTATGGAAATATGCTTGTTGTAAACTTAATTGATGGTAATACAGGTTGACAACCCCTTATCCGAAATTACGAAAACCGAAAACCTCTGAAAACCGAAAGTTTTTTGTGGAGCAAAACTTTTTTTTTTTAAGCAGGGATTAGCCCACCCAGGCACAGGTCACTGACCCACATCGGGGCCTGGGGGGCGAAAATGTAATAAAAATTATAATAATAATAATTATTCATAGTAAATAAATTTAATAAAAAATACACAAAAATTAAATAATAATGATAGCAATAATAATAAAATAATAATAAAATTAATAATAATAATAATAATAACAATAATAATGTAATAATAAAATAATACTAATAATAAAGAAATACATGAATGAAAAAAGATCAAAAGTGAGAAACACGACCTAAACCTATGAATTATTATTATTATTATTATTATTATTATTATTATTATTATTATTATTATTATACAGTGGTTCCTCGGTTAACGAACGCCTCGGTTAATGAAGTTTCAGTTAACGAATTACCTTCCATAAGAATATTCAATTCGGTTAACGAACAAAAATTCGGTTAACAAAATTCTTGCGAAAATGTTTCGACATGCTTTGGCTGGCTCACCAGCTGGAAGATTAGTCCGCCAATACAGAAATCGGTTCTAGGGCTTAAATTCGTTAAAATTGGAGTAAATATCAAGAAGGTTGTAATATTCAAGAATTTTCCAAGTTTTATATTTAAATTTTTAGTCATTTTTACACATTTATCATAATTGCAGTACAGGGAACTAGTTTTTGGTGTGCCAATCAGCCACTTCACTCACCCACCAAGGTCTCAGTTTGTATCTCTGTTCAGTGGAGGAAACATCTTGCTTGTGGGTCTCTTGAACACAGAGTATTTTTACGATTTTACAGTACAATTATTGGTCGTTCTGTAATTTATTTAACTATTGACAATATATCGTGCAGTGCAGTGTTAATTTAATGAAAATAATCTTGAATTACACCAAGTGAACTTAAAATTTTATGGGTGAAATGAGGCATGAAGCATGGGGTAATTTCTCTTCCACCCCCACTTCCTTCTCTTCTCCCTTCTCCACCCCCACTTCTAATTCCCATCATCATCATCAACCAGGAGCCTTCTACATACACACCTCAAAGTAAGTGTACTTTACTGCATTTTTTTTTTACTTTGTATGTAATTTTCGGTGAGCTGGAACCAATAACCCAAAATCCCATTGAAATAATGGTTTCGGTTAACGAAATTTTCGGTTAACGAACGACCTTCTGGAACGAATTGTGTTCGTTAACCGAGGGACCACTGAAATTATTATTATATTTTAACCCCCCAGGCCCCGAAGTGGGTCAGTGACCTGTACCCGGGTGGGCTAATTCCTGTATTAAAAAAAAAAAAAAACTCGCCTAACCATTCTGAAATCCAAAAAAATCCGAAATGCATCTGGCTCCAAGGATTTCGGATAAGGGATTGTCAACCTTACTATAACTGGGTTATTACAAATGAAAATATGTAAATACAGATCAGATGAATGTGTTGATCAGTTATTATGTACAATATAAGATGTAAAATTTGTCTTCAAATTATGCAGTTGTGTTCTTGATTATAAAGGTATATGCTGTTATTTAATGATAATACTGGGGATGCATTGTTATGAAGTCAGTTGAATGTGTAAGTCTCAAAGTTAAATGTGTTACTTTGAGAAAAAGTACAGTACTGTTGTTTAACAAATCTATTTATAATGTAGTGTTACATAGGATATACAGTAAACCCCTGCTGTATCATAACAATGAGTTTGATAATGTGCTTTTTCATTGTCAACTAATTTGGGTACATATTTTCATATTGCAGCAGGTACTCAAGTTATTGTAATCTTTGGTAGGCCAGAACAGCCACCTATAGAATTATGGATGTTTCAGGTTAGGATACTTGTGGACATTTTGGTTCTGATCACAGAGTCATAGCTCCCTATCTCAATAGTTTTATATAAAATTTTATTTTAATTTGAATATGTATACTTTATATGAATGGTTTAGGTTTCTTGAAAACCAATCGGATAGCGAATAACGGAACAAATTTGAAAAATAGGGTTCAACAAGAAAACCCCAATATTTTCTCCAAAAAATTAAATTGGTTCATTGGTTATGAACAACAAAAAAACTACTTAACTGCTGTATTGTAATTTAGTACCTAACTATTGTACAGTAAGGAGGGGTGGGCTCATTTGAATTGTATTTAATTTTTTATAGAGCCATCTTTCAGAAAAGCGAATATCACTTTCGGATAGTGGAAAAGGGTGTAAGAATAAAGTTTTTGAATGAGCAAATTATCGGATATCGGACATTTGGATAATGAGGGATACCTATACAGTGGTCCCTCGGTTAACGAGCACAATCCGTTCCAGCAGGTTGCTCGTTAACCGAAAATCTCGTTAACCAAAACCATTGTTTCAATGGGTTTTTGGGTAATTGGTTCCAGCTCACCGAAAATTGCCTAAATTCAACAAAAATTTTAGAAATTGAGGTGTGTATGTAGAAGGCTCCTGGATGATGATGCTGATGTAAATTTGAAGTGGAGGTGGAGGAGAAGGGAGAAGAGAAGGAAGTGGAGGTGGAGGAGAAGCATTTTACTGCTTCTTGGAAGGTGAGTCACCTTCCATGAAAATGTCAGGAACCTCTGGACTGACAGATTCTCCACCATGAACATCCTCTCTCCTTCTTGAAGTGGAAGGCTGAGGGCTAGCATCATCCTCTCTCCTTCTTGAAGTGGAAGGCAGAGGGATAGCATCTTGTTCCCTCTGCCTTTTACTGAAGAAAGTGTCAATTGTGGTCTGTGGGGCATCTCTCCTCCTCACCATTAACTTATGTTTAAAGAAGGAGACCATTGAGTCCTCAACATGACACAAGTTAGTTCAGTTTTTTCACATCTGGGTGCTTTGAAGCCAGTTCCCTGAACTTCTCCTAGTGGTAAATCACATCTTTCAACTCTTTAGTTGACATATGGGCATCACTTTCAATTTCCTCCTCACCATTGTCAGCCTCTAACATCTCATCCAGTTGCTTCAAGTCATCAGGAGTAAGTTCCTCCTCATGAAACATCACAAGCTCTTTGACATCATCCTCTTCCACTTCAAGGCCCAATGACTGACTAATGGACACAATCTCCTGGTCCAACTCTGTTTCTTCCTCAAATCCCTCAAAATCATGGACTACTGATGGCCACAGTGCTTTCCATGAAGAATTGAGGGATCTAGTGGAGACTTCTTGCCATGATGACACAATCAATTTTACAGCCTCCAGGATGTTGAATTGTGTCTTCCAGAATTGTTTCAGTGTTAGTTCAGGATCATTGGAAGTTGCCTGGTGACACCTCCTTAAACATTTTCTTCATGTACAACTTCTTGAAGTTGCTGATCACATTCTGGTCCATTGGCTGTATGATTGATGTAGTGTTGGGAGGCAAAAACAACACTTTCACAAAGTCAAATTGATACTCCAAAGTTCTGGCAAGGTCAGGGTCATGACTAGGAGCATTATCTATGAGAAGAGCCTTTAAAGGGAGTTTATTGGTGGTTAGGTAGCTCTTGACAGAAGGGCAAAACACATCAACAGCCCATTCATTAAAGAGCTGTTTTGTCACCGATGCCTTACGGTTGGACTTCCAGTAAACTCCAAGCTTTGTTCTTACCACTTTCTGTTGGTTGAACACCCTGGGGTTTTCAGAGTGGTAGACAAGCATAGGCTTCAGTCGGAAATCCCCTGAAGCATTGGCACCAAGCAATAGAGTGAGACGGTCTTTCATGGGTTTATGCCCAGGTAAAGAGGCTTCATCTCTGGTGATGAATGTTCTTTTAGGCATTTTTTTCCAGAAAAACCCAGTTTCGTCCACATTGAACACTTGCTGTGGAAGATAATTTTCTTCTTCCATCAGTTCTATAAATTCCACTGAAAACTTTGCTGCCCCTTCCTTATCAGCACTAGCAGCTTCACCATGCCTAACAATACTGAAAATGTCACTTCTTTTCTTAAATTTTTCGAACCAGCCTTTGCTGGCCCGTGAATCATCAAATTCTGTGCCTGAAGAACCAGGTTGATCTGTCTTTAAATGTTTGTAAATCTCCCTGGCTCTTTCACAAATGAATTCAGTAGAAACTGAATCACCTTTCAACTGTTTTTCCCTAATGCAGATGAGAAGTAACCTCTCAGTTTCTGCAATTAGGGATCTACTTTTAAACACTGGTAGATTTGTCTCTCACTTTCACTTCTTTAAATTTGTCTTTCTGTGCCAGAATTGTCGACACAGTTGATGTCGACATGCCATATTCTTTGCATAGCGCATTTGTTCTAATGCCTTGTTCATGTTTTTTTATAATTTCTTGCTTGGTTTGGATTGAAATCGCTTTTCTTGATTTCTTAGGCCCCATGCTGGATTCAAACAATGTCAACACATGATTTTGTAAGTTTAAACTACTGTAGCTGTAAATAAAGAATATTTTCTTTAAAATTACACTGCACTGTGCTATATATTGTCAATATGTAAAATAAATTTCAAAATGACCAATAATTTGCTTGGAAACACAGAAAAAAAGTGTTTAGTTGAAGAGAGTCTCAAGCAAGATGTTACCTCCACTGAAAACAGAGAGAGACTAATGCTTGTTTGCTGTGTTAAGAGGCTGGATGGCGCGCATAAAACTAGTCACTTTACCTTCAATTATGTTCATTAATTGTTAAAATTACTAAAAAATTTAATATTAAACTTTTAAAATTATTGAATAGTATAAACTTCTTGATATTTACGAAAATAGTAAGGAATTTAAGCCCTAAAACCGATTACTGTATTGGCGGACTAATACTACAGCTGGTTGACCGCCAAGTGCAAGCGAAAACATGTTGAGGTCGGCTCGTAAGAAACTCGTTAACCGAGGGATTGCTCGTTAACCGAATTTAAGAATCTTATGGGAGGTAACTCGTTAACCGAGGGATCACTGTACTGTATTGCACTATGTTCATTTAAATGATAGCAGATTCTTAAAGTTTCATACAGTGAATATTACCATAACTGAAGATGTATAGATGACCATAACTGTTAAAGGTAAACCACAGAAATGATGTCTCAAAATTGTTAATCAAGGGACCACTGTATTATTTTCGCATTTTCGACTTACGACCTGGAGTTGGGTCCCAAACCCCGTCGGGGAGGAGCTGTGTGTGCGTGCGTGCGTGCGTGCGTGCGTGTATGTATATTATATATATATATTCAGTTGGAAGGATAGAAAGACAAAGATAAAGTACAATACTGGAAGAGATGGTTAATAGCAGATCTCCCACTGGTATTGTATCTTTGAGATTTAATTTTATGATAGATTGCTTTGGTTGTAAAGTTTTGGTGGGACATGGTAGGAAGCTGTTTTAGAATATACTGGATTGACTTGGAGGGAATGTTGTCTGTCCTTTTATGGGATCTAGTAAATTTCAAAACCATACTGTGGATAACCCCATTTGGATGTATAGCAGGTACTCAGTGTTGCAATGGTGGAAATGGCAGCTGTGATTCTGGAAAACAAGTATGTCATGTATGCAGAGCTACCATGACTTCTAAAAGGCACAAGTTGCACAGTGGGCTGCCATTGTACAGTGTGACTAAAGGTAGTGTGGAAAAGTGATGTCTAGGTAGACATACTTTTGAAAGCGATACACTGCAAAGTGAAAGTTTTGTAATGCTGAAAATAGAATATCTGTGTTTTTATACATTTAGGATTTTCACTACTGGTTATTTTACAGGGAAGATACGAAGAGGTTCTCGAAATGGAGGGCCAAAGAAGCCTGCAGGAGCACCCACAAAGTCTGGTGCTCGAGCCAAGACAAAAAAGCCCATTCCTCTGGTAAGTCTATTTCATTTGGTATTCAGGGATCCCTTACTTTCAAGAAAGTAGAAGCGAAAAAGAAATTTGAGTTTTTGCAAGTAAAAAAAAGATCTTTGAATTTTTAAGAATTTTGTTAAGTCGGGGGAAAACTGGGATATTTAGGTGTTAGTACAAATATTTATGGAAATCATAAATGAATCAGTCTTCTGCTCCAGGATTACTATGTAATTTGGTCCTTCATTTTTAGCTCATTGAACACTTTGCCAATGTGTTCATTTACACCCACTTATGGGAAAGAAAAACAGCATGACCTTGTAAGATGCATCTGTTGAGACAGAGAACATGCAAGAATTTTCTGAACAAAGGCACTCTGTCTGTTCCCTCCTTGAAATCATGAGAAGCTATAAACTGTACTTTCATTACACTTGAATTCTTTTTCATTCTGTTATTTCCTCCAAGTTTTCACTCCAATGATTGCATAGACCTCAGATAGTAGCAAAAAAAATTTTGGATCAAATTTCAAGCATTTAGAAGGGTAACAGTTTACATGAATGATATGAATGTATGGAATTAAGTGGTTTATAAGGATGTTACAGCCATTAGAGTGAAGAGACCACAAAAAATAAAGAGATACTTTTGTTGCTCATAGTTATGACTACCACCAAAATACTGTAGTGGGGAAGAGCTTTTTTTTAGCCAGGTTTTCAGTTTTTGCCTAAATCATTGTGTTTTTACGGAGAAACTTTCATTTACTGATATGAAGTTTGTTGGAGCACTATTTAATTTTTCAGGACATTTTGGAGAACACACCCCTGCCACCCATTGAAAAGCGGAAGTGTCCAGTAGAAGGCTGTGATTCTTCTGGTCATCTTGGGGGGCTCTACGAAAGGCATTTCTCTGTAGAAGCTTGTCCAGTTTTCCACAATGTAACAAAGGAAGAGACTAAGGTGAGTTTAAACTTTTGTTTTATATAAATCTATATTTTTTGTAAAGGTAGAATTAATGAGACGTGAGACGCTTTTGTGATTTGGGGAAAAACATCGAATTAATCCAAAAATCTTGAAATTACTCAAGTGGCTTCTTTTATATAATGGGGGGGATGCATTCCTATGAAAGAAAAAACTTCCATACATCTTGTAAACTTGTTAGCTCTTCAAGGGTTCCAAAGTGAAAAATTCACTGGTGCTCAGGAAATGAGATAAAAAGGAGTGAGGTATGCTTGTAAACAAAACATAAAATGCAATGTGAAAACAGTGCAAAACATAAGGTAAAGAAAGAAAGCCAATGCCAATGAAACCGGAATTTGCTGATAAGTTATTCCAACATTTATAAATTTATTATAATAATACTCTACAGTAAAACCTCGCTAAGGCGGACCCGCTTAAGCCTGACAAAATTATTTGCCAAAAAAATAATTTAAAAATTCAAATAATTAAAAAAAAAAAAATTAAAAAATAGGACCTAATATGTCGTAAGATGACATGACCGCCATAAGCCAAAATTTCAAGGGAGCAAGGCGGACAGACCTCGTGATCCACCCACTCCACCTACGCCACCTACTCTGGTAAACAAAGGGGCTCATGTCAAGCGCTCGGTCATAAATTAGAGTCGCCCGTGACAGATTCACTTCTGCTCTCTCGCTTCGTCAATTGTGTTTTATTGCCATTTAGATGTGCTGAACTTCATTTTGAAACTTATTTGACATTGCCAGTAATGTGATTACATATGTTGTAGGCTGACTTAGCATACATATTTTGCATTATTATTGAAAATTTGACAATAACCATGGCCCCTAAGAAAGTGTTTGGTATTCATAAGGATGGTGAGAAGGTTAAGCCTAAAACCTTATCAGTGAACAAAAAGTTAAAGGTGAATGAAAAGCTAGAAAAAGGTGCTGCTCCCTCGCAAATATGCACTGAATACAGAATTTTAAGGCACTCAGACTCAGTGTGACTGCAAGCCTCTTGCAGTCAGAGGTATGTCCAACTATATCTGCCTTCCATTTTTTGGGATCAGTGTACAGTGCTTTGTGTACATTACTTTTTTAATTCGTTTTTATTTAAAAACAAAAAAGAACGTGATTTCTTTCATAAAATTGGATACCCTGTATATTGGTGTTGTACTCATTTTTTTTTTTTTTGCTCCAAGGTGGACAACCTCTTATCCCAGACACCCCTTTCCCCCCAATTAGTCCGCCTGAGCGAGATTTTACTGTACGCATATGAAAATTTGATACAGTACAGAATTATATTACTATTACATTGTGTGCCCAATACACAAAGCATCCTACAGAACAAAGCAATCAGGCAACTTTGTGGCACCAGTAGCAGTACTGTACCGTGTATCTTGCACATGGATGATTTACTAGCTTGTGTTAAAATTTGCTCAGTTTAAGTTAACCACACCCTACAAGGATCCCTAAGAGCCTTAGCACCCAGTAAAAAGTCTTAGTCTTAGAAAAATTAAATCACTAGGGGTTGGCTTCATGGTGCAACTCTTCCCTACAAGGCAGCAATTCACAGGCAGGTAGTCAACAATTTTTATATTTTGTATATTCATTTAATTTCAAAATGTGATATGTCTGTAGAATAAACAATATTCTTAAGATAGTACAACTATATTAGGTTTTGTCCTGCTAGGCTTCCCAGTTGCAAACATCAAATAGATATCCCATAAAAATCATTAATTTCTCTCCAATTATGAGGCGAGTTGTAGCAAAATATCCCGAATTATGTGGTAATTTTTATATTTTTGGATAATTTGATATTTTGAATTAATTAGATGACCCCAGAACTCTAATAATATCAAATTAACAAAGGTTCAATGAGTGTGTGTGTGTGTAATAATAATAATAATTAATAGTTTATTGAAATAAAATTGCAGCCAAGATCTGAATACTATACACAATGATTAGAAATTATTTAGATTACATGAAGAGATATTGGGGAGTGGGTCATTGAACATAAGATTTCAGTACAAAAAGAGGAGGAAACATGTGGTGAACCTACTAGGAAACTAAAGTCTGATAGCATTAATTGGTTGAAGAAGGGCTGGTCTTAGCTGGACGATCACAGGGTGCTATTGGCCTCCTAGATGCAACTGTGGTGTTGTACAGCTGGACGATTACAGGGTGTTGTCGTCTTCCTTGATGTAGCTGTGGTGTTGTACAGCTGGACGATCACAGGGTGTTATTGGCCTCCTAAATGCAACTGTGGTGTTGTACAGCTGGACGATTACAGGGTGTTGTCGTCCTCCTTGATGTAGCTGTGGTGTTGTACAGCTGGACAATCACAGGTGTTGTACAGCTGGACGATCACAGGGTGCTCTCGTCCTCCTTGATGTAGCTGTGGTAATGTACAGCTGGATGATCACAGGGTATCGTTGGCCTCCTTGATGCAGCTGTGTGTTGTACAACTGGATAATCACAGGGTGTTATTGGCCTCCCTGATGCAGCTGTGGTGTTGTACAGCTGGATGATCACAGGGTGTTTTCACCCTCCCTGATGCAACTCTGGTGTTGTCCATCCTGTGGTATCGTCAGTCCCAAATGGTGTCAGCGACGGTCATCTCACAAGGGTCCAAGGTTTGAAACTTGGGTGTTAATAAATTTGATCTGGGTATCCTTCTACCCATCATAAGTCTGGTATCTCACTGCTGTTACCGCTGTCAACACCTCATTTATACATCCCTCAACCCTTAAACCTCTTGGAAATGTTTTCTTTCAGACAAATCGCACAAGTGAGAAACACCTTAGAAATAAGATTAACAGATCTCCACCCGCCATTTCTTGTCCCACCGCGAGCTGTGTGGAGCCGTGAGGCGTGCCACACTGCCTGTTTCCGCTCCCTTCCCCGCAGGGTTTAGGGCCCCCCACAGGGGTTAGGTTAAGTAGGTTAGGTTAAGGTTGGTTAATTTAGTGAAAGTTAGGGGTCTAGATGTTTGGTTTCTGATGCCATCGTGGAGTTGCTTTGCAATGGCAATGAATTTTGTTGGCCAGCCAAAATTGCTGAAGGTCCGCCAAAGGGCTTCCCTGTTGACCGAGTCGAGGGCCTTGGTTAGGTCGATGAAGGCAATGTATAGGTCACAATTCTGTTCTCGTCACTTTTCCTGTATTTGTCGGGCAACAATGATCATGTCAGTGGTGCCACGTGATAGTCTAAAACCACACTGAGATTCTGGGAGGAAGTTTTCTGCCTCAGGAAGAAGTCTGTTTAGGAGGACTCGGGAGATAATCTTGCCAGCTACGGACAGCAGTGAGATCCCGCGGTAGTTGCCACAGTCTGACCGGTCTCAATTGAAGCTCTCCACATCAGAAGGGGCTGAAGCGACACCCTGGCCAAAATGCGCTTTTTGGATGGATATCACTATTTTCACCCTTCCTCTACATGTTGGTGTTGCATGTAACCCTCTAGCTAGCATAGAAATATGGTAGAAAGCTCCAGGCCTCAGGCCTGGAGCTACGTATCTGGCTGTGTGCTCAGTTCAAGAAAGTGGCAACATCCCGTTCAGAGCGAGAGGAGCACGAGCCAATGACAGCATGCCTCCTTCGGACCATACCCCCCGAGGCACCCAATCACAATGAATTTCCCCTTGCTACGTCCCAGCTCCTCGGCCCATCCGCGCTCCCAGATGCTGCCTCATTATTAATTTTGGCGCATTGTATAGCATACGGAGGTTCAGTGTACTTTCTACTGCTATTTTTGATAACTTTTCGGTGTAACATTGACGTTATTCGTGTTCCACGGGTGTGAGAGGTGCTGTGCAATATCTGCTCGATATTAGAGCAAGACTCGAGTGAGGCCAGGCCTTCTGGTGTGGGTTCAGGAGCCTATGATTTCTGAGCGTGTGTTTAGTGACGACAGTGCTCACATGGACACCCCAGGAATCCTTGGTGATAGTGATAGTGATTTTGGTATACTCATAATACAAAAAGTGACTGCTATGCATCACAAGACCTTTTTGCAGACTGTGTTCTGGTCCAGAGTTACGCGACATGCACTGACGGCAATAATGACGATGAAAGTGAAGATGAAAATGATGAAAGTGAGTCTAATAGTAACAAACAGTGACACTAATGTATCACAACAAGAACATACAAACTGTGAGGAGGTAGAAGTGGACAGTGACGAGACATGCATTGACCGTGATAGTGATGAAAGTGAGCCTGACCCAACAAATGCTAGTGAAAGTGAGCCCATAACTCAGTCTTATAATGAAACTTATCTGTTGCCGGCATCTATAATCAATGATTTAGTTGATGAAGAATCTGCGTGCCGATTTTTAGAGAGGGCAGAGAAAGACTTTGATCAGTACGTGATTGATTATGACGAGGCCATTAAAGTTATACGCACTCCTCAGGTTTTACGTAACTTAAAGTTACTACAATCTTCAGGGATAATAAAACGAAGGAACTAAGCAAAGTAGGATTGTAATACTATTACAGGTTGACAATCCCTTATCCGAAATTCCAAAAACCGAAAGATTTTCAGTGGAGCAAAACTTTATTTATTTTTATTTATCTATAAATTTTTTTATTATTATTTTTTTTATGTATTTTATTATTATTATTAATATTATTATTATTATTATTTTTTTTTTTTTTTTTTTTTTTTTTTTTTTTTTTTTATACAGGGGTCAGCCCACCCGGGTACAGGTCACTGACCTGTGCCTTGGGGGCGAAAATGTAATACGTAATAATAATAATAATAATAATACAGGTTGTACCTCTCTAGTCCGGCAACCTCGGGACCTGACCGGTGCCGGACCATGGAAATTCACCCTTTTCCTGGATAGATAGTGACTTGTGCTTATGCTTGGAAGCACTAGCACCACTTTCTCTGCATCATGGTCTCTTTGAAGACATATTGAAGGGTTAAATGTCGTATAGTAGCTTCTCAAATTTCGTGAGTTTTTAATTCTTAACGTATTTTATTGGAACACACAAAAAAAAAAATAAATAAAAATTTTGAAGGCGGAAACTTGAATTTCGACGGGTTTGAACGGCCCGCCAACGTGCAGACGACGTGCATAATCGTGTAAACAGCGTCATTTCTCTTATGTACAAAAGATTCATTATTGTTTATTACTGAATGTCTTTTTTATTGAATTAATGTTTATGTGTGCAAAATGAGCAATACAATTCATTAATAATACGTAGAATATTAAAACATGAGGAAATGACACAGCATTGTTTTCGTTGATTACAAAACCAGTGACTGACTGGTTCTACATATAAAACTGAAGAAAATAAGACCTTGGTTGTAGCTGTAGTAAAACTAATATGGTTGTTTTAAGTAATGTTATTTAATGTTAATAAATGGAACAATAGAAGTAGCTAACGATAATGGTAAAGAAAAAAGAGATCGCGTATGTAAGTGCGCATGCGCACACGTGAAAACATATCGTCATTACTTTACATAAGAATATGAAAGCAACACTTATTTACTGTTCATATATATTTTAATTAATGTTTCTGAATTTGTTTTTATTGAATTAATGTTTGTGTGTGCAAAATTAACAATACAATTTATTAATAATACGTGGAATATTAGAGGAGACGAGACGGCTGCCGGCATTGTTTATGTTAAAGCTTACAAAACCAGTGACTGATTGGTTCTACATATAAAACTGAAGAAAATAAGACCCTGATTTTAGCTGTAGTAAAATTAATGTAAAAAAATTAATATGGTTGTTTGAAGTACCTGTAATGTTATTTAATGCTAATAAATGGAACAATATAAGTAGCTAACCATTAATGGTAAAAAAAAAAGTGAGACTGCGCGTATGTAAGTGCGCACATGTGAAAACATATCGTCATTACTTTACATAAGAATATGAAAGCAACACTTATTTACTGCTCATATATATTGA